CTGTGGGGGAGATATGGGGGAGATGAGGGAGATACGGGGAGATATGGGCCGCTTCTTTGCAATGTCGCGCTCTGGCCACAGAGGGTTAGGGTTAGGGTTAGGGTTAGGCTTAGGGTTAGGGTTAGGTGTCACGCTGCATCTGGTCACAGGGCGGCGGCGGCGGCGGCGGCGCGAGGCCAGTGAGGGGGGGTGGGCACTAGGTTAGGGGTGAGGGCGGGTGAGCGCGAGGGGGCGAGGGCGGGCGAGCGTCGGGGTGATTGGCCGACGGCGGGTGCTTCGCGGCGGGTGAGGCGGCGTTCGATCGCCCCGCGTGGCGATGGGGTCGCTGTCCGGAACTGTCTCGGAAGTGTCCGCGAGCGCCACACCTGGGCGAGCGAGTCGCGATCAGAGGTGGCCACGGGCTTCCAGTTCTTGTCCGCCTTGCGCTCGTCGAAGCTCTTCTGAGACGCTGCGGGGGAGGGCGGAGGCGGCAGCGCGATGAGTCCGTTTCAGTTCCGATGCGGGAGGAATCAAGCGGAATCAAGCGGGAGGAATCTGTTGTCTGGAGGTGCAGAGACGGGTCGAGGCGGCTCCGCTCGCGGCATGGAGGCAGTCAGACTCGCGACGGGTGCCAGGCAGCGAACAGACGGCTTCGGATCAGCGCGGTGCCCTTACGGGGTGGCACTACTGCGGCGGCGCACCTTGGTACATCGCATAGGAGGCACGGGCCTGGCGCGGGGCGGAAAGCAGAGCAGACGGCGCGGCAAGTGAGCCGGCGGCCACGGCGAACAGCACCTCGCGCCGTCCGGCGCGGGAAGGTGGCGGCTGCGGCGAGAGGGCTGCGGTGGCTACGAACGCGAAGAACATTGGCGATGCGAAGGTGAAAGAATTCTCCGTTGGCGCCGGAAGCAGGGGGGCCTCTCGGTCTCGTCTCGATTATATCTCGTCCGGCGTATTCTCTCGTGTCGACACCGCCAACCCTGAAGTTTGGGAAGAGAGAGACTTTTGGCGATTCTGCGCGGGGAGTTTTGTTGTAAAATTCTGCGTGCGAGGACACCAGCCAGAGATCCGTGAGGCTGCGTCACGAGCTCGCCTGCTCCGGCACCACCATCGGGTGGCCCGCCAGCCTCTCGACCGCGCGCGGGTTTGCCCTCCTCTCGAGCTTGAGCTTCCTCCGCACCTGTCGTTCCAAAGAGGGGCGGAGCTGAGGCAGGGCGCGAAAGAGGCCCCCGCGACGGTGCCGTGTGGCCGGCTCGCACCTCTCTGCTTGAGCGGTGCAGCGCCCTGCCGAGCAGCTCGTAGTTTGCGCCGTGCTCTCGCAGCGCGGCGTAGAAGCGCCTCGTCTCCGCGTCCGACCATGGCGACGCCGACGCCCGCTCGGCAGGCGCCGTCCCCGCGCCGCCGCCTCGCGCAGAGCCCTCAGCGCACGGCGCGTCGCCCTTGAGCGCTGCCCTCGCCAGCGTCGGCGTCGCGTGGAGGTGCTTCCTGCTCATGGGAGAGCGGACGGCTTGCTCATGGGAGAGCGGGCGGGTATAGGGCGGCTTCGTGGTCTCACACTCCCGTCCGCTACTGCACGCTTCCTGCAGGCCGACGCTTTCGCGGTGATGTCCCCTCCAAGCCGCAGCTGCTCATAATCGACGCCCAGGCAGGCCGCCTAGTCGCAAACGGCGGCCAGTCTGGCTACCGCCACATACTCGAAAGCCGCCCCGACGCAGCGCGCGTCCGGCTTGTACGAGTCGTAGTGCACGATTGGCGGCCGGCTCTCGCGCTGCGCGTCGCTTGACGGCGCGAGGGACAGCTGGCGTCGCTCGCCCCTCTTGGCGAGCCTTGCCGGTTCGAGGGCAGGGCGGTGAAAGGCGGGCGGGCGGTGAGTGCGGACCAGAGGAGGCGGCAGGTGGCGGTGGAGCAGCTCGGGTGGCGGATGCTACTAGCTGCCTAGCCTCTGCCAGCGGGCCGGTGCGTTGGTGAGGAAGAGGGTGTGCTCCGTGTCGAGGACAAAGAGGCCGCCCGCCGAGCCGTTGTGCGCGTCCACGACGTATTGAAGGTAGCACTGGTCGTCAAAGAGCCCCTCCGGCGCCTGTGGGCGCCGTCAACATACGTCCGCAAACAATGCGTAGTGCGTTTCGACGGCAGAGCCCTCTTGCGCCTCTTCCCATCGCAGGGCGGTGGGCAAACTGAGGAGCGTTTGCAGGCCTCCGGCGGTGCCAGCGACGGTGCCAGCACAGAGAAAGGGCTCCGCCTCGGGCGGGAGGAGGCCTCGCTCCTTGCGCTGCGCCGCGCAGATGGAGCGCCGCCGCGGGAAGTGGCAGTTGCCAGGGAAGAGGTAGGGCACGCTCGAGAGGACCACCGCACCGCCTGCGCGGCATCACTGTGACCGGCTTGTGAGCAATTGCGGCGGGGTAGTGAGTGCCACGTCGTTTGCCACGGATGCGCGGGACAGCAGGGCGGTGGCGGGACCGGTGTGCAGTGGTTGGTGGGTGTGGACGCCCACCGAGCGCGGCATAGGCGTCCCGGATGGCCTGTGGGCTTCCCACGACCAGCACATCCGCCGCGTCGAGCAGGAGGACCAGCTGCGAGCGCGGGAGTCTTCGCAGCACCGACACCCAAATGCGCATGCGCAGCTGCCAGCTCCACTCGCCACCGGCTGGAGTCGCGACGAGGACATCTTGCGACGGCGTCCCGTGCTCCAGCAGGGACCGCCGAAGAAGGGAGGCCTCCTGAGCGAGCGGCCGCCGCAGCACGGCGTTGAAGGGCGTGTGGACGAGGAGGATCTTGACCAGGCTCGGCTCGAGGCTGCCAGCGAGCGCGTAGGAGGGGGAGACTCGTGCGTCCAGCGCGTCCATGCGTTTTGAAACTTGCCACAATCAGCGGGACTAACCTGGCACGAGCATTTTCCCTGCGAACCCGCACCCCCCAGGGCTAGGGCTCTCTTGCCCGCAACCCGATACCGATCATCCGGCCCGCTGGGTGCGCTTCTTAGCTCCCCGGCCCTGGGTGTGAGGTTAATGTGCACTCCAAGTTGCTTCCAAGTGCGCACGCAGTTGTCGCACCCACAAACGCTTACGTTTGTTCAAAAGGGGGCCTGAGGTGAGTGCGAGGGACCTGTCGCGCCCACAAATGCACAGTCGGGAGCCGTCCGCCGGCCCGAGACTAAACGACAGGCCGGCAGGGCGCCTCCACCCCGTGAGAGGCCCTCCACACGCTCTCGTGCGGCGTCAGAGGAGTTCGTTGCACACATTGACGCCGTCCTCCTCAATTCAATTATCGCCCCCCCCGGGGGGGTTCCACTGGCGCATTGTTTTTCCGGGGGCGGGGCCTCACCTCGGGGGCCCCCAAATGGCCCCCAATTCCCCCCGAGGAGCCGGAGTGTCCCTGTTCAAAAAAACCCTCCCCCAAAGGTTCTCCCCAAGGGCCCGTTTATTTTAATCCCCCCCCCCCCCCCCCCCAACCAACCCAACCACGCAACCACCCACCACAACCCACAACAGTGATGTGGTCTGTATCAGGCTCGGGCTCCCCGTCTCACAGCGTCTCAAAAGAAAAAAATCGTGTTGGTCCTAAGCCCGCCGCGCCCCGATGACGTACCTTCTTCAAAAATGGCGCCGGCATTGAAGATGCCGAGCACGGACGCAGAAGCTGCTCCTGCGCCCCACTCGTCAATGCCTCCTGCCGATTCGGTCGCTGATGCCGATGCACACGACCAGCTCGGTCGACTCCAAGCAGGACGGACGCGCCGCCGCGTTCAGAAGCGGAATCGGCAGGTGGATCCTTGTTGTCTCTCCCCTCACCCCCGCTGTTGTCTAGACGCAGACGGTAAGGCCGATATGCTTCGTATCTTCGCCCTCGGAGTCGCCTCCGCCTGGCTTGCCGGACGCCAAAGCTGCGCGGCCCAGCTGCATCGGCGGAAGCGGCGGCGCGGCTCGCCGCTTGTGCTGCTCATCGCCTCCTGCCTCCGCTGCGTCGTCGAGCTGCTCGAGTTCATCCGCTGCGACCGCATCCCGTCCCCGATCGTCCGCACCGCCGCCCTCCCCCTCTGCTTGGCCTCCGGTGCGGCGGAGGACCTCTGGCAGGCCGCCGCCGGCGCCTCCTTGCACGCGTACTGCTCGCTGTACCTCGACCGAGGCGGCCAGCAGCTCGCTACCTCCGCGTCCGAGGAGGAGCGGGCAGCGCAGGCCCGCACTCCTTCGGCCCGGCAGCTCTCCTCGCGGACAGCCTCGTCGCCGCGTCCCAGGAGCCGCGGCGTCGGAAACCGGTTCGCCCTCTTGCTGTTGCTGCTCGCATCGCGGCCTGCAGCCTCCGCAGCCTCAGCACCCCCGCCGCCCTCCTCTCCACCGACCTCTCCCCCGCCACCCTCTGTCTCGCCCTCTCCTCCGCCGCCCTCCACCTCGCCCTCCCCGCCGCCCCCCTCCGCCTCACCATCTCCTCCGCCGTCCTCTGCTTCACCGTTGCCGCCGCCGCCGTCTGCCTCGCCCTCTTCCTCCGCCCCCCTCCGCCTCTACCGCTCCTCCGCCCCTTTCGTCTCGCCTTCTCTCTCTGCGCCCTCCGTCTCGTCGTCGTCTCCACCTCCCTCCTCCTCTCCCATTTCCGCAGTCGTCCTCGACCTCGACCTTCTCCTCCTCCTCTCCTCTTGCTCTCTCATTCACTCCTTTTCCCTCTGTTCTCGTC